GAAAGAGTGAATGAATAAATGATTGCTAGACACAAAGTAAGGAATGGTAAGTACCACAAGAGATAGCATAATAATAAGAGCTTCTATTTACTAAGCGCTTACTATGTGCTTTTCACTGTTTACATTTCATGCTCACAGTAACCCTATGACATAAGGTACCATTATTATCATCATTTTGCAGATGAGGAAACAGAGACACAGAGAAGTGTAGTGACTTGACCAAAGTCAGACAACAAGAAAGGGTGGAGCCAGGATTCAAACCCAGGTAGACTACTCTGCAGCTATATTCTTAGCTGCAAATATACTGAAGGAGAACGGCTTCCTGCTGGGGGATTATGGCAGACTTTGTGGCTTGATTACCCTACAGCCCATTCCTCCTGGCTCTTCCCTGCCCACCTTAAAAAAAATCATAACTAGTCTAAGCCAATTTGTCTAACTTTTTGGCATAGATCCACTTTCCCAGAGTCCTTTTCTACTAAAGCTGACTATGAGACAGAGTTCTAAGCAATGAGGCATAAGAGGAAGGCTTCTGGTGGGCTGCAGGAAATTTTTTGCTTCCTGATAAAAGGTTCATACTTGTGGGAAAAAAAGCTTGCTGGTACCTCTTCTTCCATTTTTTTCCTGCACTGAAAACAGACATAAAGCCTAGCTACATGGGAGCTAGCTGGGCCCCATAAGCAACAAGCACAAACATGAAAGCCAACATCTAAGGATGGTGAGACAAAAAGGTGGAAGAATGCAGAGCCCCAATGGTGCCACAGAGACACTAAACTAGATCTGAAGCCACTGGCTTCCAATCTTCTTGTTAAGTGAGTCAATAAATATCTTTATTGTTTAAGCCACTGCTTGCTGAGCTTTGTTACTTGCCTAACTGATCCAGGAATCAGGAAAAATTCATGCACAGGCTAATACTCTAGCTGTGCCACAGAGGATGGAATGTTATTTCAATACGCAGAAATGGGGAAAGATGTACTAGACAGAAGAAATAACATGATCATGGACAGGAATAAGATATATACATAAGATTATCCCTTAAAGGACAAGGACCATCTTTCTGCAACTCCATAAGAGGACTCTCATGGCAATGCTCTTTTATTAATTCGGTGGCTTTGGGGACCATATGGTTTTGCACAGCACTCCTCAGTGTGATTCCTGAGTCAGCTGCATCAGAATTACCTGGCAACTTATTAGAAACAAAAGCTTGTATCTACTTCAGACCTACCAAATCAGAAATGCTGGGGCAGTGCCGGACAATCTGTGTTTTAACAAGCCCTCCAGGGAATTCTGATGCCCACTCAAGTTTGAGAAGCCCTAGTTTAGCAAAGAGATAGATGCTCCTTATCCTAATTCTATGTCCTGTACTGCCTCCAGCTCCTGCGCAGCCTTTACCCTGCTTAGTAAGGAAGGCTCCGGAGCTCCTGCATACAAAATACTGCAGGGCCGTCAGGCCCCAGGTGCGCCAGCCCACCACGAATGCCCCCTCACTGGAACCAGTCTGGGTTTGTAAGTGAAAGCAGGAAT